GTGACAACTATGTCGAGGGAAAACTCCGACACTTAGCCACAGTGGAGTGAACAGTAAACAAAAGTCAACATTCCTATTCAGAGGTAGCCTAGATTCCAGAGCCATGGGAGCTCTCCTGGGGAAAGTCCAAAATCAAATGGATGGCAAAAAAGATGTTACCTCCAGTGGAAAAACCAGCAAATAGGTGAAAACGGCAATGAGTGCTGTAGATCCAAGAACAAGGTAGGAGGCAACTCCACAGGCAATCAGTGATAAAAAGGCCAGCAAGGTCAGCGGGCCATAGTACACAGCTTCAAACAGGTAGTTTACATCACTGGTGAAGAAGCTGATGGCCTGAAAGACAGCAAACCATAAGACAAACAATCACCTCTCCAGAGTACCCAGAAATGCCCGTTGTGGTGAGTGGCATCTTCCTGCCTTCTCCTAGCAGGGAGTCTTGAGGTGGTACAGTGCAGTCAGACACACTAGAGTCACAGCTCCCTTCTTACCGGCTGAATGATCCTGGATCAGTCACTTTACCACTCTGAACTTCAGCTGCTTCATGTATCAAACTGGAATAATTATGCCTACTGTGTATGGTAATTGAGAGAATTTCAATGAATGTCTGACAAACAAAGAAAGTGCTCAAGGGAAAGTATATTTTATTACTACTTTCTATAATCAAGAATAATATTAACTGAATTTTCAAGGCATTGCCATCTGAGGAGAACATAGTCACGTAACTCTACAGATAGTGACCTCATGGTAATAACACCACCCCACTCCCTCCTTCCCCCACTGCCACACACAAACAACTCAGGATACTTATTGCATAGCACATCAGAGCTTGCCTCCTTCCTGCATTCATTCCCCCAGTCCCTAGCCTCTGCCTTTCCTCTCCAGTTTCCCTAACAAAACTTAGCAATTTCAGTTTGGCCAAGTTCTTTTGCATCTTTACATATATGCAACTCTGAGTCCAGCCTCTTTGACTCCACTTCAACTGTTCCTTTCACCTGTGATTCCTTCTTTCTTCTTTTCATAGTCATCCTATCAGGTCTTATCTCCAATCAGCCTTTCCCATCTATCTCAGACTTTACGCAGCCCTTCCTTTGGTTCTGTATACCATGAGGCCCTTGGCAGCGAGAACTCCCTTTTCTGCTGCCCTGAAACTGAACAGTGATAGTTTGGAGGTTGTAAGCCAATCACTATCACAGAACCAGGTCTCCTCCTACCTCTCCTTCTTCATCTTCATCTCTGTTTCCTGGCCTCAATGTTTGCTTGAAAAATAAGAGATGAATAAAAGATGTGAAGTCTGTCTTGTAGGTATCTATGAGGGATTACCTACTTCACAGATTTTCCTTAGTAGATAATCTCTTCTCCTTTCTTTCCCTGTTCCTTCTCCTCTTCCTCCACATTCTTTTCCACTTTTATATAAGAAACACACTCATTGATATATTTTGAATTAGCAATCTGAATCCTTTAAGAAGTGATTTCCTATGCACTTTAACTTGATCTCATTCCAGTTCCCAGAATGTCCTTAGCCTGAGACTTTAAAGATTTTAGAATGTATTGCTGTTGTAGTTACCTGCTGTTGAGTTGGTTCCAACTTATAGCTACCCAAAGAACAACAGTACCATGCTCACAATTGTTGTTATGCTTGAGCCCATTGCTGCTGCCATGGTGATAATGCCTCTTTGGGGGCTCTTCTTTTTCACTGACCCTCCACTTACCAAACATGATGTCTTTCTCCAGGGACTGATTCCTCCTGATAACATGTCTGCAGTATGAGAGACAAAGTCACATCACCCTGGCTTCTAAAGCACCTTCAGGCTGTACTTCTCCCAATACAAATTTGTTTTCCTAGAGTTCCAGGGTACTTTCAATATTCTTCTCCAACACTATAATTCAGATACATCAATTCTTCTATGGTCTTCCTTATTCATTGTCCAACTTTCATATGCATATGAGGCTATTGAAAATACCCAGGATTGGGTCAGGCACACATTAGTTCTCAAACTGACATCTTTACTCTTCAACACTTTAGAGAGGTCTTGTGCTGTAGATTTGCCTAATGCAATACGCCATTTGATTTCGTGACTGCTGTTTCTATGAGTGTTAATGATTGATCCAGAAAAATGAAGTCTTTGATAACTTCAATCTTTTCTCCATTTGTGTTGATGTTATTTATTGGTCCAGTTGTGAGGATTTTTGTTTTCTATACATTGAGGTGTAACTCATACTGAAGGCTGTGGTCTTTGGTCTTCATTAGTATTTTAAGTCTTCTTCACTTTCAGCAAGAAAGGTTGTATCATCTGCATATAACAGGTTGCTAATGAGTCTTCCTCCAATCTTGATGCCACATTCTTCTTCATATAATCCAGCTTCTTGAATTATTTGCTCAGCATACAGATTGAATAAGTATGGTGAAAGAATACAACCCTGGATTTTACACCATTCAGTGTCCCCTTGTTCTGTTCGAACTGACTCTTATTCTATGTATAGGTTTCTCATGAGCACAGTAAAGTGTCCTGGAATACATATTCTCCTCAATGTTGTCCATAGTCTGTCATGATTCACACAATCAAAAACCTTTGCACAGTCAATAAAACAAACTACCTTTCTCATATTGTCCTCTTTCAGCCAAGATCCATCTGATGTCAGCAATGATATCCTTCTTCTACATCCCCATCTGAACCCTGTCTGAACCTCTGGCAGTTCCCTGTCAACGTACTGCTGCAACCATTTTTAAACTATCTTTAGCAAAGTTTTACTAACATTCAATATTAATGATATAGTCTGATGATTTCCGCATTCTGTTGGGTCATCTTTCTTTGTTATGAGCTCTTCCAATCAGTTGGCCAGGGAGCTGTCTTCCAAATTTCTTGGCATAGATGAATGAGTGCCCCCAACCTTGCCTAAGTTTACTGAAAGATTTCAATTTGTAGTCCATCAATGCCCAGAGACTTGTTATTTGCCAATGCCTTCAGTGTACTTTGGACTTCTTACTTCAGTATTATTCACTCTTGATCATATGCTCCCTCTTGAAATGGTTGAACATCAACCATTTCTTTTTGGTACAATGACTCTATGTATTCCTTCCATCTTCTTTGGTGCTTTCTTCATCTTTCAATTATTTTTCCCATAGAATCATTCAGTATTTCAAATTGAGGCTTCAATGATTTCTTCAGCTCTTTCAGAATGAGAAATGCTGAGCGTGTTCTTTCCTTTTGATTTTCTAACTCCAGGTCTTTACACATTCCATTATAATATTTGACTTTGTCTTCTCGAGCTGCCCTTCCAAATTTCATGTTCAGTTATTTTACCTCCTCATTTCTTCCATTTGCTTTAGCATCTCTACACTGAAGCAAGTTTCAGAGTCTCTTTTGACATCCATTTTTGGTGTTTTTCTTCTTTATTGGCTTCTTAAAGACCTTTTGCTTTCTTCCTGTATGATGATCTTGACGTCATCCCACAATTTTTCTGGTCTTCAAACATTAGTGTCTAATTCATCAAATCTGTTCTTGAGATGATCTCCAAATTCAGGTGGGATATGTTCAAGGTCACATTTTGGCTTGTGTGAACTTGTTTTAATTTTCTTCAGCTTCAGCCTGAAGTTGCATATGAGTAATTGATGGTCTGTTCCACAATCTGTCCCTGGTCTTGTTTTGACTGATGATATGGAGTTTTTCCAACATCTCTTCTCACAGATGTAGTCAATTTGATTTCTGTGTATTCCACCTGGTAAGGTCTATGTGTCTTTTATGTTGTTTAAAAGGGTTATTTGCTTTGGTCTTGCAAAATTCTACCATGTGATCTCCAGTATGTTTTCCAAGGCTGTTTTCCAATGACTGATCCTTCCTCTTTGTTTCTAACCTTTGCATTCCAATCACCAATAATTATCAATACATCCTTATGGCATTTTAATCAATTTCAGACTGAAGAAGTTGGTAGAATTCTTCAATTTTATCGTCACTGGCTTTAGTGGTTTATGCGTAAATTTGAATAATGGTTGTTTTAACTGGTCTATCTTATAAGCATATGGATATTATCATATTACAAATAATGTTATACTTCAATATAGATCTTGAAGTGTTCTTTTTCATGATGAATGCATTGCCATTCCTGGCATAGTAAACCATGTGATTGTAAGATTTGAACTGGCCAATAGCAGTCCTGGTGTGGCTCTGTGGAGTCCTGGTGTGGCTCTGTGGGTTAATGCGCCAGATTGCAAAGCCATTTGAACTGCAAAGTCAGCGGTTCAAGCTCACCAGTTGCTCCCTGGAAACGCTATACAGGGTCGCTATGGGTCAGAAACGACTCGACGGTATTTGACAACAACATGCCTAGAGTATCAACTTTTATGCATTCTATTCATTTTTAACAGCTTCCAATTTTCCTAGATTCATACTTTATACTTTCTGTGTTCTGATTATTAATGGATGGTTACAGCTATTTCTTGTCATTTTGAGTTGTGCCCCATCAGCAAATGAAGGTCCTAAGGGCTTTACTCCATTCATGTCATCACAGTCAACTAGACTTTGCAGAGGCAGCTCTTCCCACTTCATATTTTGAGTGCCTTCCAACCTGAGTGGCTCATCTTCTGGCACTATATCTGACAATATTCTGGTTCTTTTCATCATGTTTCAATATTCACTATTCTGGTGCTGATAGTGTTCCACGGCTATTTACAAGGTTTTCAGTGATTAAATATTCAGAAATAATTCATCTGTCCTTCTTCCTAGTCTGTCTTTGTCTGGAAGCTCAGCTAGATTCTATTCACCATGGTCGGCTGTGCTGGTGTTTAAAATACTGACAGCTTAGCTTCCCAAATCACAGCACCACACAAGCCACAACAGTACAACAAACTGACAGATGAATTGTGGGTGCAAACCTTTGATGTTGTTGTTGTTAAGCGCCATCGAGTCTGTTCCAACTCATAGGGTTTCCAAGGAGTGGCCTGTTCTAGAACCTGGTAATTCCCTTTCTTTGTTGAGAGACATTCACTGTACCAAAGGATATTCATCACAGCCCTGCTTATAACAGCAAAAACACCAACAACATCTCAGTGTCTGTGCCACCCCAGTCCACTGAGTGAGGCAGCTATAGTGGACTTGCTGACCCATGGAGTAAGAGAGAGCTGAGCACCTTCAGGTAGGAGGCTTGTTGGTGGAGTGGGGTGCCTCTAGGCACTTACCTGGATAGCTAACTAAAGAGCTATAACACTTGGCACAGCAGGGGAGAGTACAAGAGTGAGGGTCCAGACCAAAAGCAAGGTCCCCAGTTGAGAACCAGAGGCCAGGCCCAAACAGGGCTCAGCAACAGAGGCTTGCCTGTGGTCTCAACCAGATAAGAAGCTGTTCTAATCCAAGATTATCCTGAGTTGTTGTTGTTACCTTCAAGTCAACCATCATACTGAATTATAATGGTATTTCTGAAATCAACTCCATAATTGAGAGTATGGTCTGTGATTCTCTGTGACCATTGCAACAAATTGTCAAACCCACCAAAGAAGTACAGATTGCCATGGAGGGGCAGCTGATGTCAGAATAAAAATATTGCAGAATAGAGGTATACTTGGCCTCCACTCATAGGAATTGTCTTTAACTGACCTTGATTCTGCCACTACATGTGGTGTTAGAGGATCTCTGACACCATGGCATTTTTACTTTCTTTCTCTTTCCTCCTTCTTTCCTAGCCCCCTTTTCTTCCTCCCTGCCCCCTAGATTACTGATGTCTGGAGGAGGAATAGAGAAGTATGTGCTAGAGTATACAATTCCATTCCTTTACCTTTCCTACAGAGATGTGTGTCAGTGACTTAAATTGAATCAACTTCTCAAAGGCAAGTGAGGCAACAGCTGTGCGAAACCTTGTGCCAGTGCGCTGGTTGATGACCCAACATGAGCACAGAGTCAGAGACTTCATACATTCGGTGAGAAAAAGGCCAAAGCAGAGTCCCACTCCATACACGACATTCCCTGACTGCTCTTCTGAATAGTCCAGGATCTTTGGTATAATCAGTGCCTAAAAAGAAAACAGAGTTTAGACCATTCAGACTTCCCAATCCTTCTTTCAGGCAACAGGCATCACCTCCCTATGGGAGGTCCTTAAATGAATTAATGTCACAGCCCTTATGTGGGTATTCAGTTGGCCCTGATGTGACTCCCAGTTCTGACACCTAGTCTCTGGTCCAGGGAGGAAAAAGAAAAGTGACTACTTACAAAGGTGCAGGCAGAATTTAGAAACTCTAACAAGCAACAGTAGGGAGCTGTTACCACCCTTGGCCTGAAGGAGAGAGAGGAGGGCACGGTTACTGAAAGCCCGAGGACACTGTCACGCAAAGAGGGCCGGAGCTGTCATTACCTACTCCCAGTGACTGTGAGAAGACAGCAGGGAAGAAATATCCTGACCTTACTCTTTTCCCTCCTTCCAGTCTCCTGAAAATTCCCAGCAATCAAATCCAACTAGAGGGCAGGGGCCCATTGATGTGATCCATCTAGGTCAGATTCTAGGGGCGTACCAAAAACACAAACCAACCTAAAGCCATTGAATCAATTCCAAGCCATAGAGCGCCTATAGGACAGAGTAGAACTGCTCCTTAGGGTTTCTGAGACTGTACATCTTGACAGGAGCAGACAGCCTTATCTTTCTCCCACAGAGTGGCGGGTCAAATCCTTGCATTAGCCTAACGCTTAATGTACTCTACCACCAAGACTCCTTCTAAGGGCACAAGGAGGGTGAAAATGGTGGAAAAGTAGATCTGGAAGGATAAATGGTGACTGCGCAGCACATTAACTATCACTTAAGTCAGAGTTGCTATCTCTGTAGTAGCCATCAACTGTATTTCTTCCTGCCTTACATTCATTCTTCTTCTTCTTCTTTTTTTTTTTTTTAACTTTATATTTTAATGAAAAAACCAGTGTACATTAATTTTGTATGATAAAATAACAGATAGTCATTCTTCTTTTTGCTGGCAACAACCCTGTAGTTTTGTTCCAAGTACTTTCCCTTCTCTCACTGCATGCAGTTTGGGCTGAATTGTCAAAGTGCCTCTGGGACAACTGTAAGACATGTGACCCCAGCAGGGCCAATCAGACTCATGCTCTGAAATAAGACTCTTGGGCTAAGGAACTGGAGAATAGGAAATAGAGCAAATTCATCCCAAACATAGTGCATGGAGACTATAGTCCCAGAGTTACTTGGCTTTGTCTGAAAGCAGCTGGAAGGTATTGAGACAGGCCATACTATAACATTAAGCACAATGGAACAGTAAGCTGCTCAGTCCTGAGTCACCCCAATGAAACTTTGTGATTGGACTGTAATGATCCATCAGCATCACAGCAGCATGCAGGCCTCCACTGACAGATGGTGGCTGCACATGGGGTGCAGTGACCACAAAGTGAACCCGGCTTTCCCACATAAAAGGCAAGAATTCTACTAGTGAACTGTCACTGTTCTCATGTTCTAAGTACTTTAAATGCTTTATCTTATTGAATGTTACCCTATGAAGAGATAGGGAGTGTGGTGGCTCTGTATGATAAGCACTGGACTGTGAACCCCAACATCGGCAGTCTGAGATCATCAGCTGCTCCAGGGGAGAAAGATGAGGCTTGCTCCTGCAAAGATGTACTGCCTCAGAAACCCTAGACAGGGTCACTATGAGTCAGAACCAACTTGATGGCACTTAACAACCATGAGTAAATAGGAATCCCTGAGTTGTACAGATAGTTGACTTATATCTGCTAACTGAAAGGTTGGAAGTTTGAGTCTACCCACAGTCACCTTGAAGGAAAGACCAAGTTGTCTACTTTTGAAAAAATCAGTCATTGAAAATCATACAGAGCACAATTCTACTCTGACATTCAAGGCATCGCCATGAGTCAGAATTGACCAATGGCAACTAGTAAAAAATAATGACATAGAAGAAATTATCTCTAAACACATAAGGATTTCCGTGAGCTCTACCTCTGACAGTGTTCATGAGGTTTGTTGAGGAGAAGGTCATTAAATTGTGCAATGCCACCCAGTAAATAAGTGACAAGGCCAAGGTTTGAAACACAAGAAGTAGCTAGAGATTCCACTGTTGTTGAGTACCATCAAGTCACTTCCGACTCATAGCGACCTTGTATAGCGTTTCCAAGGAACAGCTGGTGAGTTTGAACCATTGACCTTGTGGTTCAAATGACCTTGCAGTCCAGTGCTTTATCCCACAGCACCATACCAAGACTCCAGAAAGCCCAGAGTCCTAACTATGATGCTCTCAGTCCCCAAAAGTTCTCATTTAATGGACAGCAGTTGAGATATTCCTGACATATACTTAAACATGCCACCAATTCTAATCTCCAAAGTCTGGAACCCCTCCAAATCTCACCAAGTCTGCTACTTACTGGCCCTAATACACTTGCCACACAGTAGAAGCAGCCCATAAGTACATCCAATATAACCCTTGTTCTTTGGAACCTCAGCATCACTCGAAGTACTGAAGCTTTTTCAATCCCATGTCTTGAGACTTCTTCTTCCCAAAGGAGACGAAGCCTTAAAAAGAGGAAAAGAGCATCAAGTGAAATCTGTTTGCATGTGGACACCAAATGTTCTAGGACTTGCTAGTCTAGGTGCTTTGTTACAGAAATTTTCAGACATAACAAAAGTAAAGAGAATAGCATGGATAATCCCCTTAAACCTACCACCCAGCTTCAAATAATTTTGACACTTTTGTTTCCTTTTTCCTCCCCTTTCACCTTATATTGTTATTGTTTGCAAATTCCATTTATTTAAAGCAGATTCCAAATATTTGCATTATTTCATCTATAAATGCTTCGCTATATATCACATCCAGGTGAGAACATTTTTTAAAAAAATTAAAATAAACAGTTATCGCAATAACAAAAATACCTTAATGACATTTAGTTCCTGATCTGTATTAAAATTTCCTTAATGATTTCAGAAATGTGCTTTTGCAGTTCTGCTAATATTGATAAGCCTTTTAGTAGCTAACCATTCAGAAATAGTCCACCTCTCTTTCTTCCCTTCCCAGTGAGAATTTTTTGAATTAAGATCCAAACAAGGTCTACACATTGCATCTAACGACTAAATCTTACATACCTCTTTGTTGTTGTTGTTGTTAGGTGCCATCGAGTCAGAACCGACTCATAGCGACCCTATGCACAGCAAAACGAAACAATGTCCGATCCTGGGCCAACCTCACTACCGCTGCCTCACTTAACGCCATCAATGATGCCACCTGGCTGATCCATCTCGTTGGGGGTCTTCCTCTTTTTCTCTGACCCTCCATCTTACCCAGCATGACATCCTTCTCCAGTGACTGTTCTCTCCAGACAATGTGTCCAAAGTATGAGAGACGGAGCTTAGCCATCCTGGCCTCCAAGGAGCACTCTGGCTGCACTTCTTCCAAAACAGATCTATTGGTTCTTTTGGCAGTCCATGGCACTTTTAGTATTCTCCTCCAACACCACAACTCAAAGGATCAATTATTCTACGATCTTCCTTATTCACTGTCCAGTTTTTGCATCCATACGAGGTTATTGAAAATATCATGACTTGGGTCAGGCGCACCTGTTCTTCAACACTTTAAAAAGTTCCTGTGCAGCAGATTTGCCCAATGCAATACGTCGTCTGATCTCTTGACTGCTACTTCCGCGAGTGTTGATAGTTGATCCAAGAAGAATGAAGTCCTTGACAACTTCAATCTTTTCTCCATTGATAAGAATGTTGTTTATTGGTCCAGTGGTGAGGATTTTTGTTTTCTTGACATTGAGATGTAATCCATATCGAAGGCTGTGCTCTTTAATCTTCATAAGTAAATCTTTCAAGTCCTCTTCCCTTTCAGCGATCAAGGTTGTATCATCTGCATATCGCAGGGTGTTAATGAGTCTTCCTCCAATCCTGACGCCACGTTTTTCTTCATAGAACCCAGCTTCTCGTATTATTTGCTCAGCATACAGGTTGAATAAGTATGGTGAAAGAACACAACCTTGTCGCACACCTTTCCCAATTTTAAAACATTCATTGTTCCCGTGCTCTGTTCAAACAACTGCTTCTTGGTCCAGGTACAGATTCCTCAGAAGTACAATTAAGTGTTCATGTTTTCATGAAAATGAAAACATACCTCTTTAGTCTCGTTTTAATCTGTGAAAGTTTCTCCTTCTTTGCATTTTAACACTATTTCTTTTTTTACAACACTGAGTTGTTTATCTGATAGAATTTCCCATATTCTAAATATAATGATTACATCTCTGGTGTATTGTCTAATATAGTCTTTCATTGTCTGTATTGCCTATTAAACCAGGGTATTAGATCTAGAGACTTAATGAAATTCAAAATCCAATCGATTTGGCAGAAATATTTAATAGGTGATAGAGGGTGCTTCCTGTTGCATCATATTAGAAGACACAGAAAGTCCAGTGTCCAGTGGTTAAGGTGGATCAATGTGGTCTACTCATTACCAGCTTTCCCACCATTGACCATTGCTTAGATTTACTTCCATTAGGTTGGAAAAAAAAAAAAAAAGGTGATTTTTTTTCAATTCCAACAATCCTTCCATATTTGTCATTGTTGGGCGTGCCATAGAGTCAATTTGGATTTATAGTAACCATGATATAGGGTTTCCAAGAGCAGCTTGTGGTTTTGAACTGCCAACCTTGTGGTTACCAGTCCAGTACTTATCCTACAGCCACACCAGAGCTCTTTTATATTTAGTAGCTGAATTTTTCTATTAAAAAATACCTTTCCCCAGAGGACCCTAGGACCACCAAGGGAGAAGAGCACAAGCGGAATGCGGGACCTTATCCAGAGAAGCAACGACATCAGAGATGGAGGCAGAGATGGGGACATGGAGAGAGGGAGCAACTGGGGACTCTAGATAAATGGAAAGAGAGGGGCAAAGAGCTGGATGCCAGGAGTCAGATTTGCAGAATGTGCCCTTTGGTTGGGTAAATTATTATATGTGCCTGAGTGTTAAAAAAAAAAAAAGTGGTAACATGAATAGAGAGAAATATTGTTAACTGATGGTACATGGAGGGGATTATAATCATTGTAATGAAACAAGTATATGATTTGTTGACTGTAGAACTGATGTTCTGCCCTGTAAACTTTAACTCAATTCACAATAAAAACTGATAAATAAATAACTTTCCCTCATCAACTATTTTGCTATCCCAAAATAATTAGTTTAGGAGACAGTCCAGGGATTTAAATAACGACACTCTTCCTTTTTATATGCAAATTAAGATGAACAAAACCCAGATTTTCAATTTCAAAAATCTACTTCCCCAAAGTATCTATTATTCCAAAATCCTCAAAAGGATTTCCCAGTGCTGCTCTCCCAGTACTGGGTCATCCAGTTAAAATGTGTCTTTCCTTTAATCTTACAGGCCAATTATGCCTGGGAAAACTGGGCTATGCCAGCAAAACAATCTTAAAAAGGTATTAAAGATGTTATCATGACAAAATAAGCTTTTGTTGAGTTTCTCATACTTTTTTTTTTTTTTAATTTTTAATTATGTTTGGGGCAATGACAGGAGAATGGAAATAGCCTTTGTATCTACTGGAAGTTTTGAGCTTCCTAAATCTTTCTTCTGATCCCTAGGCCCACCCATGAAGTCTCAATTCAGTCTGTCAGTTGCAGTCACCCTTTACTTGGGGCTCCTGCTCCCATAGATCTGGTTTCACTACCTGGAAAGCTGTTATCACGGCCCATCATGGGAGCATCAAGGACCATGTCGAGAGACTGGAGATAATGTCCTTTATAGGAAGAACATGGCACGGAGAGTGGCCATCTTCCTTGCTTGGCCACCCCTTGTTACCAGGGCCCACAGCAGCATTGTTTGTGCTCAATCTCTCCCAAAAACATTCTCCAGGAGAGCCATCAGCTTCCAGCTTGTATCCTGTGCCCAGAATTTCACCAAGTCTCTAGTGGTAAATAGTTCTTGCCCTTTCTACTCCTTACTCCTCCAATCATGAATACTTAGGCCTAGCCTCAGACCATGAGCATCTTTCTGTCCCATTTTCTCCACCCACAATCAAAATTCCAGTCTTCTTTTTCCTTCCCAAGTTATAAAACAATTCACCTATCAGTGGGTGGAACGAGATAACTTGAGGATTCTGGGCTCTAGGTCAGTGAGACAAAATTAATCTCATGTAGCCTATAAATACCAGAAAACTGTGAGCTTGGCTCAGGCCAAATAGTGCGGTCATCTGTCCTCATTCCAGTCGCACTGCCACATATACACAATTCACAGAGACAATACCTCTAGAGTTGGTTAAACTTTGACTTAACAAATCCAAGTTTCTCATAGCCCTCCCACAATGTTCCTGGAAAGTGTCAGATGTATTGTAGTTTCTGGCTATAACCATCAGTCTCAGAGTCAAGAGACTCGGTTTCAAGTTTTACCACCTCCATTAATGAGCTATGTAGCTCATGGGGCATCATTTCACTTTTCTTAAGCATCAGCTTTTCATCTGTAAAATGGAAAAAGTAATATCTGTCTTGTTACTTCATAATTCTATTGCGATGGCCATAGATGGGGAAATGGTTGATAATATGGGAACAATAAAAAAATATGAAGGATTATGATGGTGAGAATGGCAGTGAAGATGATGATGATGAAGATGGTGATAGTGGGTATAATGGTGATAATAATGGTGAGGATGCTGCTACTGCTGGTGACGATGGTGATACAATGAAAAAGATGATGGTAATGCTACTGGGGTTCATATGGTGATACTGCCACCGCTGCTGCTAGTTATACTGGTGACGATGTTGGTCACAAATCCTCATGGAAGACGAGGCTGTTCTTCTGAAAAATGAGTAAACATGCACCCCAGGACTCTGCTTGTTGAGTGGTGAGCATATAGAGAAATCCCTTCAGGCTCAGAAAGTGTGAGTGCATGGATAATTAATTTTACAACAAACATCTAAAGATGGAGCTATAGCAATAGTGTTATGAATGGTGGTGGTGGTTATGTGCCATGGAGTTGGTTCCGGCTCATGATGACCCTGTACAAGGTTTCCGAGGCTGTGAATTTTTATGGGAGCAGAAACCTCATCTTTCAACCAGAGAACAGCTGGTCGTTTTGAACTGCTGACCTTGCGGTTGACAGCTCAATTCGTAACCACTATGCTACCAGAGCTCCTTAGTGTTGTGAATAGACATTATGAATTATAGAATAAACAAGGCAGAATCAGTGCACTAGAAGCAAATGGAAGTAAATTAGGAGCTCTGTGCTTATGATAGTTAAAAGAACAAGCAAACTAACATTTAACTACTTGTCGCTTATTCATCAGACATTTCCCCAGGTTCTTGAACCAGAATTTATCATCTCCTTTTATGCTTATCACACCTCATAGGACAAACTTTATGATACTCATTATGTGCATACTGAAACAGCGTCTAGAAAGGGATAAGTAACATTTCTAATCTTATAATTGGTAAGAGATGGGATTCTGATTAATATCTGGCATTATCTAAAAGGTGTTCCTTGGAACTTTTCAGTGCCTTAAACACACTAATATGCTTTGTAAATCTCTGAGACCTGGCAACATTTTACAAACTCTTTTACCTACTAAATGCTCTCTTTATAGAGGCTTCTAGGGGCTGGAGTTCCTGGGTGGGGTTAATGGTTAATACACCTGGCTGCTAACCAAAATAAAAGTTAAAGTCCAGGGGCAGGCTTGCGGGGTATACAATTTGGTTGATTGATGATGCATGGAGGGGATTGTAACCATGGCAATGTAACGATATATGATAGGATGAACATAAAGCTAATGTTCTCCCATGTAAACTATCACATAATTCACAATAAAACATTTTAAAAAGCATAGAAAGAAAGAAAAAAAGGATTAATGAATGTAGAGCATGAGTTAAAATTAGCAAATTCTTTACCTTCTAAAAGTTTCTGTTTCATGGCTTTACAAAGCCCTGATATATTAACAACATTGCCATAAGACTGGTCTCTGCACTTAGAAATATCAGTTTTACAAATGACAGATAGTGAAATTCCTGATGTGCAATTTCTTTACTGGTATGACTTTCTTAATACATTATAAATTGCTAGACAGTCTTTTCCATCTGTTAAAGATACATGTCTTAAAACAATACTTAGCTGACCCATATGAGAAAGATTAGGAGTGTAATCTACAGACAGGCTGAAATACCAAGCTACATTTAATTTATTGAAAATAGTGCATTGGACTTTATCACTTTTTAAGTACATTGATTCTTCCCACATTCTTTTAGACATATATGATGGGTTGCCTTTCCTTGTGTTACCATATTTTGAAATGTGAACTGCTAAAAATGAATCAAACTGACCAAGCTCATGTACACTTCTGCAAAACCTCTCCATTTTGTGGGGACCCAAACACTTAATTTATTCCTTGAACAGATAATCTATGTTTAGTAACTGTGATGACATTAACAATATGTTGTAATTGGCTTTCTCATATGTTCATTCTTCATTAATTTATGTTTCCAATCCATAAGTTAGTTCAAAACCATGTCTTTCACTTATATATGACAACAATCTCTCTGAATTGAACTATTTTCATGTTTACCAATCACATTTGAGTTGTGCCAATTGCCAAATTCATCCATAGCAAATTGAGAATTAAATGGTGTATATCTGAATAGCTTGCAGACAAAACAACACAGAGAGTAGTCTGATGGAGAATACAGTAGCCACTTCCTCTATAATTTTCACCATCAACTTTTCCCCTAGAAATATATTCTGGCCACCGAACTTTGTTCATTTACAATCCAGAAATTTTCTAGACAAATTTTCAAATGATTCACTTTGATATTGACAATTACTTAACCCACTTACAATCCAATAATTTGTATCTTTAGAATAAACTTTATACTACAAAAAAAAAGTTAAAGTCCAACCAGAGGCACTTAGGAGGAAAAGTTTGGCAATCTACTTCCAAAGCCCTATGGAGAACAGTTCTACTCTGACACAGATGGACTTTCCATGAATCAGAATCAACTCAATGGCAATTAGGCTTTTGGTTTTTGTTTGTCTCATGGGGCCATCATTTCCTGGAGGAAATTAGAAAATTGCCATCTTACACCCATGTCTTGTGAAGGAGCTGCATGTAGCACATGAATGCTGTACATGTCGAATCATTAATTGTTTTCTCTTCATTTGATTCCATTACATTATGAAGGTGATAGAACAGAAAATTTAATCACTACTTAGCGACAACTCAAGGATTAGAAGACTGGGCTACTAATAGAAAAGTAATGCTCAGTATTACAGTTAAATAGAGTTCTGATGTGGTGCTGTGGGTTAATGTGCTGGACTGCAAAGTCAGTTTGAACCGCAAAGTCAGCGGTTCAAGCTCACCAGTTGCTCCTCAGCAACCCTATTCAGGGTTGCTATGGGTCAGAACTGATTTGACAGCACTTAACAAAAACAGTTAAATACTTTATCCAAAACATGTAAACTTTTTAAGGTTAAGTACCTTTTCTTTGGTGAATCTGAGAAAAGATGTGAATTCTTGCTCCAGAAAAAGATCTCTAGTCGATATGTATAAAACATGCATACCATTTCAGGGGAGTCATGCTCCCAAGTTAAGAACCCCAGGCTAGCATGAGGCCTCTGCTATAATGGGAGGACCAACATTCCTTCGGTTATCTGAGAGTGGAGTATATTTACCACTCTCAGGCAATTCTGGTTACCATCCTATCAAGACAAGTTCTTTGTTCTGCTGGCTTGTTCAACATGACTTTACCTTTTGACATTTTTGTCTGAGGCATCATTTACCGACAGCTGGGGGATGGTATTCTCATTCAATCGAAACTGTAAGCCTTGTATCATTAGTGGGGTGAGCCATGACAATGTGAGATAGGAGAACAGTCCAGCATCATCCAAGGGTTGAGGAGAGGGCAGCCTAGGAGAAGTCAAAGGCAATGCAGTCACCCTTATGACATAGGCTTTGAGATGTAAAGTTAGGTCAAGGCCAAGGCTTTGAAGGATTGAATTATAACGACATAAAAATCACAGACTACACTGAGTGCAGTCACCATTTTTGTACACATACATGCTTTTTCATGATTTTATTATTTGTAATGGTTAAAAACCAATAACAACAAAAACATCCATCCATGAGGGAAGCAGGAGAGAAGCTATGATACATTCATACTATGGAATGGAATGGAATGTAGACATATATTCTAAAAATAGGGTTGATCCAAATATAGAACATGGAAAGAGCTCCAAGCATATTAAGCAAATTAAAAACAAAACCAAAAAGCCACTTTTAGATCAAGAAATTCAGTGTATTTTTATTTATATTTAAAACAGGAAGAAAAGGAAGCAGAGACAAAATGGCATCCTCATGACACACTCAGCCCAATTTACCTATAGCAGAGACTTGAAACAAATGAACATCAAATGAGGGAATAAAGAATTGGATTAAACATCATTTGAACAGCAAAAAAAAAAAAAAAAGTGGTTGGAGTAGGGGCCCAATGTTGCATCCAGTATTTTGTGACACAGAAGGCAACACACACAGGTGAGGAGAAGCCAATTTCATTGAATCCTTATTGGGACAGACACAGTGTAGACAGATCCTGAGTGAAACAACTCAGCCATACCTACTACACTTACCACCTACAGCCTTCCCTACAGGCAAATGCTCTGATTTACCTGTAGGGAAGACACTCATTCTGGCACCACGGGACCATTGACAGTGGACAATGCCAGTCCATCCTATTTGTAGCTGCTCTTCATGATCAGCAAGCAAAGATGCACACCTACCATTCTTCCAGTTATTCCACCCACCCAGAGAATGCAAAACTATCATACGAGTAACATGCACACTCTGCCTACTCAGATCTAGCAAAAGAAAGCAAAACAAACACTACAGGGTGTAATAAACCAACATAGAACCAACAAATAAATACAACAATTCCAAAATGTCTCAGAGGCAACATATAGCTCAAATCAAATAAAGAAGCAGGACAACGTAGCACAAGCAAGTGAACAAATCGAAGAACTAGTATATCTCCTTGAGGAAGAACAAGCAATAGGACTAATTGATAAGGAATCCCCCCCAAAAAATATATATAAGGGGGCTTCAGAGAGGTTGTGAGGAAAACGCATCTTTTAATTCCACTTTTCCATGAACTTTTTGATCTTCTAAGAGCTCAAGGAAACCACAAACAAAACTAAGGGAAGAATTCAGGAAAGCAATATAAGCACAAAGTGACAATATAAATAGCCAACTAGTAAAATGGCAATTTGAAAACCATTATCAATAGTAGCAAACATAAATTTATAATGGATAAATAGACAAGAAAGATGAAGGTATGAGTAAGCAAAAGGGACCTACATGCAGGACCATACATAGGTTTGGAAGATGATCTATCTATAATTTGTACAAAATAAGTCAAACAGGGGGCAAAGGTTGGTAAACTTCTTAACCATAGTCAAACAGCTTGAGGGTGCAGGCCACTGGGTCTAGGGCTCAGGACAATAGTCTCAGGAAAAATCAAGGCCAATCAAGTCTAATGTAGTCCACAAAGACAATGTTTTACATCCTGCTTTGGTGAATAGCGATTGGGGTCTAAAAACTTGTGAGCAGATATCTAAGGTTCAACTAATGGTAAAGAGGAATGAAGAAAATTAAAAATGCATGGAAACAATCCTAAGAACTTGGTAGGGACTGCAATCATTTCCTTCCTATGTTTACTGTTTCCATTTGTTCTTGTTTCTTAATCCATTCCTTCCTTCTGAGCTTTTGCTCTGGTCAAATACTGGCCTTTGTAGTTCATATGGTTGATTGTTCTAAGGAGTGTGCATTTCTCTGGTGTTATTATTCACCCACTAGCCTATCAATTGTTCAGATGAAAATTGAGCCATGGAGGGGAGTTCAGTTCTAGGACTACAGAGTAGCTATGAGCCATAGTCTCGGGGGTTCCACCAATCTCCATCAGACCAGTTAAGCTGGTCTTTTTTATGATTATGGGGATCTGCACAAACCTCCAAATGCAGAGGCTACTTTTGCCAGCCTCTTCATCTTCATCTCATGCTGTGTCCCTTATCACACATAACTTCAGGAACACTGGTCTCCTGGACTATCACATGATGTGCCTTCACTCTCACAGTAAGGCCTTTACATTTCCACATGCTCTTCCCCTGCCCAGATCATTCTTCCTCTACTCTCACCTAGTACATTCTTGTTCATCCTCTAAATCCTTTCAAGCTGTTATTCTTCCATTGTTCCGTAGTACCCCATTCTTCATAGCACTCTCCTCATACAGCTTGCCAGCACATTATTTATTTACTTAAGAGTCTACTTGTTGATTGCCTTTCTCCCTGTGTGAGGTCCATGATGACAGGGATTATGTATAGTTTACTCAGTTCTATTCCCCATCCAATGGTCTAGCATAGTACACATGTAGTGTGTTCTGTTAACCCTTGTTGAATGGTTGACTGTGCTGATGATGCTCTGCTGATGTGCCTCAGGGGGCCCTAGAGGTACTGGGTTGGTGATATGAATGTGTAAGGACATAGTTAGGTAACCTTTGGGATGGATATAGGTGTGAGAATCTGAAGGCCATATCCCTCTCCAACCCCTCAGGACTCACTTTGGCTTAGGGCGGAAGGGAATCATGGTTTTCCAGGCAGCATTGTACTTTCCCCAAGAGAGGGCTTCCCCCTTCCCCAGGGCCTCGTGTCTCCTCTCCTGCTGGCTCCAGGGACCATCCTTGACAGTATAAGTTTTCTTGGGAAAGAAAAAACAAAAGGGTATCATTACCATTTTCAGATCTCACAACACTGTCCTGAGCAAGTGTTAGGCCAAGGGAAGCTTGCTCTTCCCACATGCAGTTTTCTAAAGAGAGGCTGTCAGACAGGGAATGAATACTGGGTCATGAGTCAGGACCACTGGGCCCAGCCCTGGCTCTGTCCCACTTATCATTGCTGGGCAATACTCAAACTCTCTGGGTTTTTAATCTGTCCATAAGGAATTATGGGCAAGGATTTAAGGTATTATAGTTAGTCCTGGTGTGGCACTGTAGAATAAGCACTGGACTGTTAACCATTAGGTTGGCAGTTCAAACCTACCAGCTGCTCCCTGGGAACTCTACACAGTGTTACTATGAGTTGGAACTGATTTGACAACAATAAAGTTAGTTACCCCCAGAATGCAAGACCGAGTTACCCTCTGAAGATCAACCTACTAAAAAAAAAAGAAATCAATATGTAAAACAGTAAATCTCAAAATATCACAAGTTAGCCTTTTGATAAAGTTAGAAACAAACTTTAAAAAGACATCATTTTTAGACTTCATATAGAATAAATAATACATCTAAAAATCATAGCAAGAGACTGATGCAAAAAGATTCAGAAAAGTGGTTACTTAAGGTGAGTGAGTCGGGGAAGGAGATGGGAAAGATCAATTGCTGGATATAATTGTCAAAGTCTTAACTGGTGTGTTGATGATGGGTGTATAGGTGCTCACTGGATTATTATAAGTAAATAGATGGATAGATAGAAGATAAATGCATTTATAAATGGACAGATATGTAGGTAGATAGGTAGACGGATAGTTGGATAGATGGAATGATGGCTGGATAAATAGATAGGTGGGTTGTTGTTAAGCACCATGGAGTCAGTTCCGACTCATAGTGACCCTGCACAGGGTTTCTGAGGGTGCAAATCTTTACGGGAGCAGAAAGCCTCATCTTTCTCCCATGGAACAGCTGGTAGTTTCATACTGCTGACCTTCAGGTTAGCAGCCCAATTCGTAACCACTACCATACCAGAGTTCCTGAGATAGGTGGGTAGAAAGGTAAAAAACCATGCATGAACCATGAAGGTGTGATTAATCTAATGGTGGATAACTGAAGTTGGCTGAAAAAATTCCAAATTAAATTCTTTCACCTAATTTACGACACTCAAGGATGTCTTGTCAACTACTTTTCATGGTATTTTGATGCTAAGAAGGTTCTACTTACGTAGCTAAGTCCTGATACCATGTCATCACCTATGTCCATGCCGAGATTCACGAGGCCACCAGAGGAGTCAGGGATCCAATCTGTCCTCCTTCTGATCATTTTCAGTTATTTTTCCAATTCTTTGTTTCCCAGAATCAGAGACCCTGAAAAGGCAGTGGTTATATCAGCTTAGATCCAGCCTTGAGGGGGACATCACTATAGGGAACATCACTATTCCTTCTGCCTGGAATGTGTTTGAACTTCTTTTTAAACTTCTGCTTAGGTCTCAACCCAGAGCCACTCAGAGAAATCTTCTCTAACCACACTCTCCATAGGCCTGTTCATATAATCATGTTCCTTCCCTTATCTCAGCTTGCAATTGTACACTTATTAGAATCATTTGTTTAAAAGTAATTTCCTACACTAGACAGAGAACCTCATGAGGATAGGGGCCTATCTGTTTTGCTCACTATTGAATCCTCTGGCCTAGTAATGATGCCGCAACTGGCTAAGGTTACTCCATCATCTAAGTTAGAAAAGCCATTAGTGCTAACTCTAGTTTACGCTTTCCTATAAGTTAATCAGTAGTTAACCCTCACCCCAAGGGCTACTATTTGTTGTTGTTGTTGTTAAGTGCCCTCGAGTCAGTGCCGACCCATAGCGACCCTGTACAGGGTTTCCGAGGCTGTAAATCTTTACGGGAGCAGAACGTCTCATCTTTCTCCCGCAGAGCAGCTGATAGTTTCGAACTGCTGACTTTAAGGTTCACAGCCCGATTCGTAACCACTACGCTACCAGAGCTACTATGTTGTTGTTGTTAAGTGCCGTCGAGTCGGTTTCGACCCATAGCGACCCTGTACAGGGTTTCCGAGGGTGGAGAGCTACTATAGGAAAGAAAAAAAAATGATCATTCATCTCTGATGAAATTTGTGCATCAAGGAAACCAGTAATGACCACCACTGGAGCGGAAAATAGTACCTGCTGGAGACAACATATCTGGAGCAATCAGTACAACCTAAGGTATAAAGAACAATAAAAAGTTCCTGAAATTCTTCCGACCCCATTGCATGTCAAGATCCTTAGAAATTCTCTTTCCCCACTTCCCTTGAGGAGGCAGTCTTTGGAGGACACTCCAGTCCCACTGTCTCTGTATACTGAGACATATTAAACTTTGTTGCTCTACCACATTCCTATCTTAGAGTCATTTGGCTTCTTGGCAGCAGACAGCTCCCACTTGCCATTTGTGGTAACAGCACCATGCTAAGGTGCTGAATAATTGAATAAAGAATGGACTTTGGGTTTTTGGTTTTTTGACTCTTGGTTTTCATAAAGTCAGTGATGTCTGTGTACAATTTTGTTGTTATTGTTGTTAAGTGCCGTCTAGTTGATTCCGACTCATAGCGACCCTATGTAGGGTTTCTGAAGCGCTTGAGTCACTGACCTTGTGGTTCAAACCGACCTTGCAGTCCAGTGCATTAACCCATAGTGCAACACAATTTAGGAAACTTAAATAATCAAAGTATTTGGAAAAAAAGATATTAATATATTTTTGCTTTTTTGCCTTTCTGAGTAGGTGACTTGCTCCTGTTTGGTCCAGGTATCCATGCACCTGCGGCATAAGAGGGGGTGGAAACTAAAAATATCACTGAAGGGATGGAAAGACAAAGAAAGTGTGCAGTCAGGCCTGCTCTGTGGTGTGTGACCTTGACACTGAAAGGTCTCAGGCTTGGGTCAATGCTCTGGTGTTACCATCTTGAAATTCTTACTAATTTTGAACATGGACTCCCAGAGTTTCACTTTACACTGTTAATGTTGCTGTTGTTGTTAAGTGCCATTGTTAAGTATTATCTGTTGTTAAGTCAGAAATAAGGTGTTTCTGACACCTAATGACCCTGTATAGGGTTTCTAAACAGCAGCTGGTGGGTCTGAACTACCAACCTTGTGGTTAGCAGTCCAGTGCTTATCCAGTGCTTATAGCACTATACCAGGACTCTTTACTTTGCACTTGTTGTTGTTAAGTGCTGTTAAGTCAGTTTCGATTCATAGCGAGCGACCTTGTATAGCATTTCCGAGGAGCCACTGGCGAGTTTAAACCACTGACCTTGCAGTTCAAACTGACATTGTGGCCCAGTGCTTATCCTACCAGGACTGTAGTCCATTATTCCTGTTCAGATAGAACTTTTGACAATCAGAAACTAGATTCTGCTTCATGTAAACGCACTTGCAACCTACACTATTGTCTAGGGAGAGGAGTTTCAAAATTCCCTCACTGCCTCCCCTTGCATTTTCTTTCAACAAATCATAGCCAAATCTGGTGGCTCAGTTTCTGGGATTCTCCCATGGAGACTTTCCAGAGTAGCCATGGTACCACATCATGAGGCCTTCTTGCTACTTTATGGTAGAAAGCTAACCCTTCAGGGATGGTGCAAAAGAGAAAAATGGAAAGGTGTAATGCATTCCTTATTTAAGACTCTGGGCAGAGGACAGTTCCCTGACTGCCTGGAGCTATCTTAGGACATAGACATACCAAAGTAAAATTGATGTGATTGAGTAGTAGGCCCCTGGGGCAGGGACACAATGTAATACTGTCAGTTTATTCTACACACAAACAGAACGGGCTGAGGAGGTGATTGTTGTTGGTGGTTTCTATCCAGAGCAAACTATATAGGGTTTCGGAGAAGTAGCTGCCATCCCAAGGAGAGGACAGAAAATTTCATATTGCAAGTCATGCATCCTGGCCTAGGGCTTCATCAGTGATGCGCTGATAAATGTTTAACAAATGGCTCTGTGTGTATGTGGGTGGTCAGAGGGGGAGGAAGCATATACTCAGGTAAGTCCAAAAGTATTGCTATTTGGGTTCCAGTTCATACAGTGTATTCTGAACAAATATGTTTAAACATGTCTCTGTGATCAGACAAGTTCTCTCAGTTGTACAATTGTCTTAGCCTCATTAGGGTGCCTTTGAAAGAAAGGATACTTTTTGTGCCATGGAAAGAAAATGATTCTGAGGTCAGGCTAATATCACATTTTTAACTAAACTCAGATGGATTTCTTCCCAAATCACTGAAACTTTGCAACAAGTTTATAGGAATAATACCTCACACAAAACAACAGTTTTTAGATGGATCAAGCATTTTAAGGAAGGTCAGGAAGACCTCAAAGATGAACCAAGAGAGGGAAAACTGTCAACCTCAATGAACCACGAAACTGTGACTGAAACACAGGCCCTGATGAAAGAAGACCATAGGATTGATTAATACTGATGTGATACCTACTGAAGTTGGGGCTCAGCATTTTCAATTTTAAGTGAACATTTTGGCCTCAGCAAGCTTTCAGCTCAATGAAACATTGCACGAAGGTCAGCTAGCTCAAAGAGCCAAGTTTTCCTTCAGTCTTTTACACAAGATCAAAACAAATGAAGACAGTTTCATGGAACAAATTGTAACTAGGGTCAAGTATTGGATTTGCCAATATGATCCAAAGAGTGAGGTCCAAACAAAACAGTGTCTCCCAAGGGAATCTTCTGGGGTAGTTAAATTCAAGGCAGAGAGGTCTACTCAGGAGGTTATAGTAGTTGTTTTGGGGGGCATTCCAATGGGATAATGTTGATACAGTTTCTCAAAGAACACAGGAGATTCAGGGGGCTTATTATGACGAGATTTTTAAGAAAATTGAAAACTACAGTCCTGAGAAAAAGTTAGCAAAGTTGCATCCAAGATTTTTTTTTTACCATCAAGAAAATGTACCTACATTCTAGAAGAGTAGCATGAGCTATCCTTTGAGAATCTTATTGGGAAACCTTACCCCATCCTCCGTGCATCCCTGAACTTCAGACTTCTTTTAGGTTCTATTTTGAAAAGAAAATATTTGAGTTCCTCAAGGATGCCAAGCACTGATATGATGTGAACTGAAGAGCACAGAATATTTCAGGGAAGGGTTAGAGATATGGATAGACCTAGATGAAGGATATGTCCAGAAACAATAGTTTCATATTTTGGTATTTTTTGTTTAGTAGAGGTTTGCATGCTGTTATAACAATACTTATTTATTTATCCTCATATTACTGAAAGAACTTGTCTGTTCTTATCTTGTCTCATCTATGATTACAATTTAAACACAGTTTTTGCTGGTTTTTCAAAAAATAAACACATGTTTTATGAACTGGAACTTTTTTACTTTCCCTTGTATGATCTGCCAACCTGATTTATTTACATTAACTTGCAAGGAAGTACAACAGGATTTTCTTCTAGATGAAAAAGTTTACAGTAAAGTAATAACAAGGAAAACTAACCAAATGAAAATTAAGAAAATGCAAATGAGTGAGATGGGTATGTTTGTAGAACATGAGTTATGCATCCCAACGTAACTGGAGTTTAGCCACACATTAGCTTGGATCTCTTTCAGCTTCCTTGACTAAGCAGGTGAATGCCCTCCAGAGAGTCCTTAAGCAGTTCTTGAGAAATTCACCTCATCTCCCACCTTCTCCTCAAGACATTAATTCACTGTGGTCAGGATGGAGAACAGGACATGTCTGGGAATAAAACAGAGGAAACAGATGCTGCCAGGCCTGTGGTCTCCCCACCCTTGAAGCAGAGGTTATGATTATAAGTTTGACATAGATATGAGCCATTTGCATATGAAGAGGCAGCCTGTGCACTGGAGCAAGGTAGGTAACCTGTGCCAAGGACTTTTTGGAATTGGTGATTATTTCCTCATTGTTCTTGCCATTGATGAAGCAGGGCCTATTGCCCAAGACCAGAAGGTGCAACAAAGAATAAGGAAGGTGCCCAGGACAAGGGAGTGGAGGCACCTGCAAGCCACGTTCTAAAGAAGTTTAAGTGATTAGACCTTTCTCCTGTACCTCTTCCTTCCAGTCATTTAATTCCATGTGCTATTCAACTGCTCTTGCAGGCCAGTGACTGTCTATTTTTTCCATTCCAGACACTGAAATGCTCCTCTCCGCCTTGATCTTTGTACTAGTCCTAACCCCTGCTGAGAACATTTTCCTCCCAGCTCCCTGCAGAATAGATTCATTCCTGCCATTCAAGTCTCAACTCAAATGCCACCTTCTTCAGAGTGACTTTCCAGACCTCACTAATTAATGCTGTACCTCCTTCCTA